GTGCCAGTTTTGCGTCTTTGTGGATTGGGATATGGAATAGTGTGTGAAGGAGGCTGAATACCTGAGACCCAAACCCAGTTAATAGTGGGCATGGCCACCAGACATGGAGAACATTCCCCCGTTGGCCACAGACTCTGAAACAGCTATCATCACAAAAGGGGTTTAAACCTGCAATGCGGGCCGGAACCCAGTACCATCTCAGGAGGACCTTATAGGCTGCCTCCAGAGTGTTAGTATTTAGAGAGCATTTGGCAATGGAGGACCAGGCTCCACTCCAGTCCTCAGGATCAATGGGGTACCCCGAGTCTTGCTACCAATTGGATTTATAGGATGTAGACGGGAAGTTGGTAACTGCATTCAGGGAGGAATAGATCGAAGAAATAGTACCCGAGGCCTCAGGGGAATGCTGGCAGATGTGTTCAAAGGCCGTAGTGCGATACAGAAAGGTCAAGTTACACCTCAGGGAGGTCACCCAATGTAAAACCTGTACATAACGAAAAAATTCTGTGGGTGGAGCATCATAAGTCTCCTCGAGAGGAAAGCCTGGGAGTTAAGGAAATTGCGGACCTGAGAGAAACCATAGGTGGACCACCACATAAACGCTTTGGGCTGCTCTCAGCCTGGAGGGAAGAGAGGGTTGTTGAGATGAGGGAGCAGTTGGGGAGCTCTAGAAGTAACCAAAAGGGGATGTCTGTTGAAGTGTAAAGGAGAGAGAACTGAGAAATGTGTACTGCCATGTAATATTTGGTGACATTAGGAACTCCCAAGCCTCCTCTATGGGTGTACAAGGTGTGGCGCAACACTCTGGGGCGTGTATAGGCCCATATAAAGGAAACAAGTCTGCTCTGTAGCAAGCATAAAAAAGGGAGGGTGGTCAAAGTGGTAGGGTTCTGAAATAGTATAATATTTTGGGGGGCAAGGTCATTTTAACTGCGTGAATGTGCCCAATCCAGGATAAGGAAGAGAATTGCCAAGATTGCATAAGAGAGGTGACATGTCTCAGTAATGGGTAGTAGTTGGTCTCAAAAAGAGCGGCGTAGGAAAAAGTCAACTTGACACCCAGATAGTCCAAAGAGGAGTTGGCCCAGTGGTAGGGGTAGCTCGCCTGAATGTGTGTCACCATAGAGGGAGAGAGTGAAATATTCAGGACTGTTTTTTTTTTTTTAAGCTTAATGCGGAGACCTGACAATGTAGAGAAATGGGATAGAATAGATTGCAGATTTTGGAGGGTAGTGACTGAGTAATGTATATCCCAGCTCCCCTGTACTCCATTATAGTGATATGACATGTTGTATACAGTACTTACTGTCCCCCCGAGTCCCCACGCGGCAGTGGAAAGGGGTGTCTCCTAGCGGACCTCTCCTGCACTTGTCCTCTCGGCGGCGCGGTGTTGTATACAGTACTTACTGTCCCCCCGAGTCCCACGCGGCAGTGGAAAGGGTGTCTCCTCTCAGTGGAGGAGAGCGGACCTCTCCTGCACTTGTCCTCTCGGCGGCGGTGCCGCAGAAGCCAGAAACCGGAAGTTGTAAACCGGAATTCGACTTCACAATGAGACTTGGAGCGCAGGAGCAGTCGCTCCAAGCTTCATCTGTGCTCACCGCTCGCAGCCGCTCGCCACAGAGGAATTTCTCCTCGCATTTGGCGAGTGGGCGGGCGGCTTTTTCAAGCCCTGCTATAGTACATTGTCAAAAATGTTTTAAATACTGCAAGTGATCATAAGAAACAGAGCACATACTACAGGTATGAATGGAGACATGTTACAAGAGACTGTTCGCTATCATTGCTATTACAGCTATCAATGCTTCCACTACAGGCTGCTAAGATCCTCAGGCCACAAGTTCGTCACCAAAGGAATAAACAAAGAATTGTTTGCCCGTGACTCAAACAATTGTCTAAATGAACGCTTTATGGTTCTTATAGTGATCAGTAAGTTGTTAGGATGAGTTCTTCCTTCCGATAATTTTAATTCTGAAACCCTAAATGGTTGACTGAGAAAATAAAAACAGACAAACAATAAAAGCGAGAAAGAGAATACTGTGTGGTCACAAACAAGCTTACAATAAAAGCATAATTGTCAATGTAATATATCTATTTCTGTGATTGTGCTGAAGAGGCTAACTGCTCCTTTTCTGCTTCTCTACGCCACATTTCTTTCTTTGCTAAGTTCATATTTGTCAGTGATTCATGACGTGCGGCAGCCTGCAAAACATATAACACACATAAATCATACAGTGACCCGTGACATGCGGCAGCCTGCAAAACTTATAACACATATAAATCAAACTTGCACACTTTAGAATTAAGAATTTTCTGTGCATTTTCTGATCTGCTTGTTTGTTCCTGGTTACTGAATCAAAAAGTAGTCAGGCCAGGAGGCCAGCATAACTGTCAAATGGCTAGAAGGTTAACTTTAAATTGGAACCAAACCACCAGACAGTTTTGGACCCTCAGAAGCTTTTTGCCAAAATGCGCAAGTATGCACAGCATATTTATACACTATGGCAGATTTACCCGGCAAAGAACCCCCCTAACAGTGCTGCAATGTCAACTCTTCCCCTTGTTGCCGGTGGTTTAATCTTCTCCCCATCTACTTTTGAGTTCAAAGTCTTCGGGCATACTCATTGGCTGGGCCGGGATAACATGATTCCAGCACAGAATAGAGCCAAACTTGTACACTGAGCTGCCCATGGCTAGTTCAGAGTACACGTAAAGAAAAAGTGCTGACAGGTGCGCAGAAGTATCTATAATAGTTTTCAGGAATACTTCATTTCATTATGCAAGCATTAAACTGGATCTTCACCTTCTGCAACATGATTCCTCCTCTCCACCCCTGCTCTGATTCTGTTCAAGGATAGTGCTCTTTTTAAAAAAAATGTATTTACCCTTTTTTAAAAAAAATAAATTGTCTGTCCCCGTCCCCCCTTGTGCACTGTCCTCCCTTTGCCTCCTGAGATATGCATGTCACATATCCCAGGAGGCAAAGCCTTCCATTCACTAAAAAATGGGAGGGGGAGGGGGAGGGGCTTAGCAGGCCATCATCAGGAGAGCAGCAGCCAGCTGAGCCCATAACAGCAGGCAACCTGACAATGTTGTCACAGCAAAACAGTGGGACCGAGCTCTGCCAGTAGAGAAGAGGATCTCAGCTGGACAGCACTGGATCCGCTGGGTGGGTGAGTATATGAAATGTGACATTTAACCACTAGCCTACAGGGCACTTATACCCCCTTCCTGCCCAGGCCAATTTCCAGCTTTCAGGGCTGTCACACTTTGAACGACAATTGCTCGGTCATGCAACACTGTACCCATATGAACCCGTCATTGTACTATAGGGCGGGCGGAAGGTGGTTAAATAAAAATGGGGGGTCCACCTTAAAGGTCTTAATCCTGACATCTAGTGGCAGTTCCTTGAAACCATAACTTGTTATTTTTATGTCTGTTAATGGCAAAAGCCAGTTTCCTTCTATGTTGGGGCTAGTTAGTCAAAGGATAAGTTTGCCTTTGTTCATCTTTTTTCTTTTTTTTTTCTAAATTCCAGCTCCCCTATGTACCAATATAGTATTAATGTACTTCTTTTGCAGAAGTTCAAAAGCTTTCTCTTTTTCTACCACCTTTATTTCAGTGTCCAGATTGGCTATAAAAAAATAAAAGCTTTTCCATGACTTCTGCCTTCTTTCCTGTAGAGACTTCAGGTCATGACACAGGAAGAAAATGACCAGCTCACCTCGTTAACACACATCCTGCATCATCTACCTTCCTACCTCCCACCCACTTCCAGGTGCACGAATATTAAATGAAAAGCAATCAATCAGTGATCACTGTTCTCACTAAATAGACATCAATTTTTATTTTTCTACCTTAATTTTCATCTTGCATAGATCATTCATTTGGCAGAGTGTGCTGAGTGAACAGATAACAGCTTATGTGAATAGAGCTGTAATACGTGTGTTCTGAGTTCTATATAGTTCACATACACTATACAATCTGATTGTACAATCTCCTTTAGATCTACCATCAATGTAGTGCAAGGATTGGTAGGTCCTCTCTGGTCAAACTGCAGCCAATCCAGAGCAAGTCATAGATCGTGAGATGAAAAAAGAAGAGAATCCTCTACCTTTCAGAATACATGTGTTGGACGATCCCGCTGTGAGGAGGAAGAAGGCTAGCTGGGACCATTTTCAATGCCTTTATACCTATTACCACCCAATCCATGGAATGATATCTGTGCATACTGAAGAAAGTGACATCTTGGTGTATGGGAGATAGTAATTGTTTTCTTAAAGCGATTTTCTTACCATGCGAGTGGGGGGCATATTCATTTGGTGAGTGCACACACCCGAAAGGGGGGACATTTAATTTTGTACACGTGAACTTTCTTGGAGAACTTGAAGATTTTTTTTGCGGGTTTATTAAGGACTTTATTTAGGACTTTTTCTCATCAAAAGTCATATTTTGATATTTAGGTTTTTTTTGTTTTATTCACTATATGATATTTTGCGCTACTGAACCACTTTAAGTTGTTCCTTTTTTGGTTATGTAGTGCAAGGGCCTGCCTGATTGGATACAGAGTGATTAGGTAGATAGGTGGGTCCTCCTATTCCATAGTTTTGGAAAATCTAAAGGAAATTGTAAAGAGATTGTACAGATTGCACAGTGTATGGCCATCTTTATACAAGTAAATAGGAGGGAGTGGATGGAGACATTCAGCTGTCAAGTCCCGTTTACATCTCTGCATAGCAGGAACTCACATTCCCGCATGCGTTTTTTTTGGGGTGTTTTAAAGCATTTTTGCTTATTAGGGAGCTCATCCACTTTTGCCATGCACACAATAATCGCCCCAAAGAAGTTCAAGAAATTTTTTTAAAGAGTGGAGTGTGGTGGTTTTCTAACTGTGATTTTTGGTGCAGTGCATTTATGAAATGCATGGCAAAGCGTGCTTTTTCTGTGCAGTGTACCATGCATTCAGAAACACACAGATGTGAATGGAGCCTCATTGTTCTTTTCACTTTCAGGCTCCATTCACACCTAGCATAGTGGGAGTGGTTTTTGGCTTGTTTTACCTGTGACACGCACAGGGCAGCTTGTTGATTTAAATGGGTTGTGCTACTACGTGTCTCTTGGAACGTTTTGACGTGACGTGGGTTGGTGGCACTGACTGGCAGCACTGATAGGTGGCACTGACTGGCACTGATAGGTGGCACTGAAAGGCAGCTCAGATGGGCACTGATATGTGGCATTGATGTGCACTGGTAGGCACTGATATGTGGCATTGATGTGGTACTGATGAGCACTGGCAGGTGGCATGGATGAGCACTGACAGCTGGCACTGATGGACACTGACAGGAGGCACTGCTGGGGCTACACAAATTATCAGGACACACTGATCATCAGTGCCCTGATGATCAGTGCACATGTCCCCTCTGAGGAATGCCGATTGCCGGCTCTCCTCTCCTCTCGAGCTGTCAGCGTGACATTTCCCTATTTACATGTGATCAGCTGTGATTGGAAACAGCTGATCACATGACCGAGCCGACATCTTCGGCTCTTTCCGTTGATCGGTGATCCGCTGTGTCCAAGGGACACAGCGCACCACAGATCGCCACGCTGAGTGCTCCTGGAGCTGCGCATGCATGGTTAGAATGGGATGATGTCATATGACATCCTCCCAGAACGAGAGAACCACCTTGCGCCCGTCATTGTACTATATGGCGGGCGGGAGGTGGTTAATAACGCTGGTAGCATTAGCTGTGTAAAGTCATATTAAAAAGCCACGTTTTTCTGCGTTTGCGGTTTTTAGTGTTTTTTACACAAAAAAAAAATAAAATCTTTGCTCAAAAAAAGCCCCAAAATGACAGTTTGATGCATTTTACCATGTTTTTTAGAGCTAAAAAGCTCCTCTCTAGAAATGGATGCCTCCTTCCAATATCAGCCAGACATTCATCATTGAGCTCTTTAGAACAGATTTTCAGTGAAATCCCTTGATTAGTTCCAAAGATTCTCATAAAAATAGGTCCCCCAGCTCTGGCCTAGTTGGGATCTCGAAGAGCACGCACGTGTAAATTTCAGCTGGGCTGGCCAGAAGGGCAGAAGCTCTTCAGGCTGAGAACTTTTTCTACTGGACATAAACTGGACTGCCCCATGCCCACACTATTTATGTACTCCCCTGCCACCTACTAAACACTCTCTCTCAGGGATTGGCTAAGTCAATATAAATATTCAGGCTGCTTATAGAGTAGATGAGTGGTACCTCCTCCATACTCCCCATTAACTCATTGGGCATCAAATGTGGGTCACATAGGCCTACCCCAGGCTACGCCAGGCATTGATTGGGGTAACTGACCCTTGAATGTGGGATAACGTTTAGCTTGAAAGTATGCTCACCAATGCACAGAACCAGGAAGGAGCTGCGGTCAAGTGAAAAATCAAACATTAAGGTGACTTTCCAACTAAAGAGTGAAGCACATGTGTGCAGTACCCAAAATACAGAGTTCCTCCTTAAGATGTTTTGTCCCATGCCCTACACAGTTTTACTGATGTATGTGTTGCATTCAGAGGGACAGGTTAAGCCTCTGCCCATGCCACTAGTTAGTGTAATTCTGTTACCTCATTCCCAGTAACATAATGGGGTCCTCTCACAAAACTGTTTCAAGCACATAGCACAGACCTCACATGTGCTTTCACTTAACTCATATTCTCTTCCCGTACTTAGTGACCAGGCCTTAGATCTCTGTAACGCTAGTCCACTCCCGATGACCGGCAGAGACAGACAGTTAGGGAGGGAGTCAAAGCACCGACCCCCTTGTTACTGGAGAACCAGTCACCAAACAGGTACCATGCCAATGACTGGTTGCTTTTTCTCCCTTTTGATTACTCATGAACTTCTCTTGTAGCAATGTTACATATACCCCATACTGTGGTCATGAACCCAAGTTCTTTAGTAACGTTATCGAGGCACATTTTCATTTTATGCTTCATGCAAAACTCCACGTGAATTTCCACATACTTTTTCTTGCACTAGGGAAACATGTTAAGCCTAACACCAGGACACCCCTTCAGACATGGCTCTAAACAGTAGAATCAACTTTTATTGTGAACTTGATAAAACATGTACATGTACTTATAACATGAAATAATGTCCTTTTCTTAGCTGAACCTAACTGTAGCTGCTCTAGGTTACGTGCACAGATGAAGTCTCTGAAAAAGTTTATGCCTGGAGATGCTCCAAAAGAGAAGTCTGTGTTCCAGGGATCTTCTGACGAGTTGGCATTTGAGAGCCAACCAGAGATCCCAGCAAGTCTGCAGCTGAATGTGTTCCCTATGTGTTTCTCCAAGTGTTCCCCAGAGCCAGAGGGCATTTATATTCCTTTGCTCATTTCTCCTCTCTATGTGGAGCCCTAAACTCTTCTCTTTTATAGAAAATGGGGGGAGGCTGGACCCCAAAGCCCGCAAACACTCCGGGAAAAGGAGGCAAAGCATTAACTATTTCACCTGACTGGGGCAGCTTGACACTAACTAAATACACAGTAGGCTACAAGCTGATTTGCCTTTTCCAAACCACTACATTCTAGAATACTCCAGAAGGCAAAGGGAGACAATCAAACCTGCAGCCAGTGAAGTCCAGAACAGCCCACAAACCTCCACTGATTACAGAGGAGCCAAAAAAAAGAGCTAAATTTACCTAATCATCCTGTGCAACCTATCTAGCAGGGTGCTACAATATGTACTATTTCATATTGACTTGACCACAAAAATGAAAAGCAATGTTTGAAATAGTATTTTGTAGTCCTAACAGCAAGATATATACAAAATCACTTAGCATTGTCTTTATAAATGAATATACTCCCATTCTAGCAAACTAGAATACAGAATAAAATTATATCAGTGAATAAACTATAAAACATAGATGTCACAATGCAAGTTGGTTATTCTCTGCTGTTTTAGAGTGAAATGTTGATATGTAGAAGAAAGAGTGATTGTACTCGTACAATCTTGTTTGACATCTAGTTTACACAGCAGGCAATTTAGAAAGAGCAGTTGTTACATAGCCTAATGGTATTTAGTGATTTTTAAATCCTATAATGTATATTTGTTTGCTTGAGGATTGTGTGATGTTTAAAAATAGTGGGGGAAGAGCAGCTAATATAGGCGTTATCTAAGGAAAATTATTTGGTTTTAAGCTTTCTTACCTTTTTTCCGGATACAACCATTGCAAAGCAACCTACAATAGTAGCTGCAATCATAAGGTAGCAAGCTTTAATGCGGGCTTTGTTCCTAGCACTAACCAGCGTTTCCAGCCTAAACAAAAGAAAACAGTATATTGAGATGTAAAATGTTCTTATTCAGCTCACTTACATAAGCATTGTTTATTACCACACAATCTTACTATCTAGTCACAGTTTTGTATCTAAAAATGAATCTCTTTGTACGTTTTGCTCTTGCTTCTATACTCACCCTATCTTTGGCACTGTCTGCTGCTGTCTTACCACTCTGCGATCAAGTGCAAATCATCTTCGGGATTGAATGATGCCCAGTCTTGTGGACTGAATAATGCCCAATGCTATTCAACCCACTTCCTGTGAGCCCAGGGCATCATCTGGCCACCCTGGACTCATGGGTGAGTGAGCAAGCTGGAGTTGACCTTTAAAGATAAAGTTTAGCTTACAAAATCCCTACAGCTTATGTCACATCACCTACCTGTAATGAAATATGTCCCATATTGTTTAGACAGCTGGATCCTGGTGAAATTTTCTTTGCAGAGATGGCTGTCCTCCTCGTGTCTCTTTGGGACTAAGTGTTGTCCAGTCTTTTGGATTGAATGATGCCCAGTGCTATTCGGCCCACTTCATGTGAGCCCAGGGCATCATCCAGCCATAAAAAATGTTTAATAAGAAATAAAATAGGTGTTGTACTCACAAACGACAATAAAGTCAAGGCACATCATAAAAGATTAGCTGGGTCAACACTGCGCTGAGTAACAGTCTGTAATGGGGAATGTAGACATCCAATAGGCTGACGCGTTTCGAGGACTTGCCTCTTCCTTAGAGCCCCGAACACCTATTTTATTTCTTATTAAACATTTTTTATAGTAATGCACTAGGCCTGTGCGCCCTCTCTTTGTTCTTTCCTCATTCATCATCCAGCCACCCTGGACTCACAGGAGGTTGTCATTATACAGCACGGCTTTCTATGGCATTCAGGATCTGTTCACTTCTGAAGGAAGAGGAGAATCAGGAACACCATATGACTAAACTTAAGACTTCTGCAAAAAATGTATGTATACAAGCTTACTGCCGTACATGGGTGAAGAAGCAAACTGAAGTTGAACTTTTAAAGCTTCTGCCTGAAGACCCGACGCTGTCAATCCCCCACAGCATAAGAAGTTCAGAGACAGGAAGAGGACAGGCATCCCTGCAGTGAAGATTTCTCCAGGATTCAGCTGTCTGAAGAATTTTGGACATACTTCATTGGAGGTAAGTGATGTGACTAAAGCTAGATTTTAGAGGTAGAGAAGTAGAAGTAGAGATTTTGTTTTTAAATTTCAGCTTTAAAGGAGAAGTGTGGGATTTGAAAAAAAACTCACATATTCACCTCCTTGCACCATGGTGTGATGCTGCAGCTGTCCCATGTTGGCTCTAACACCATTCCAATATTGTTGGGATCAGGGGCGGACTGACAACTCATGGGGCCCATGGGCAATAGGGATCATGTGGCCCCTGTGTCCTTGCCCAAACTCAAAAAAGCCTACAAAAAAGGTACCAGGGGCATCTCATGGGGCCCCCTACTGACCCGGGGCCCTCAGGCAGTGCCCAAGTTTCCAAATGGTCAGTTCGCCCCTGGTTGGGATCCTTCCAGGCTCTGCCATGTCAGTTGATAGCGGACAATGGTCTACTATTAGCTTACTCTGGGTCACAGGAGAGCAAAAAGTAACTGTATGACCAAAGGTTTAATGCTATTGATAACACTCTGTGCCAGGATGTTGCAGATGTTTTATATTTATTGATATTAATTGTTATATTGTAACTTGAATGCAGACACTGACAGATGCAAATAACATTTTATCTGATAAGTGACATAGCCAGGTACACCGTTTTTGGGGAAAGTTTTTTTTTTTTTAAATGCCAAGAGGATGGAATACAGTAGTAATATTTAAGTATGTTTGTGTAATGTATCCAGTTGATAAACAACACAATATAAAATAATTACTGTACATCTGTTGATATCCTGACCGTGGCACCACCTGCCTAGAGTTTGCATGTTCTCCCTGTACCTGTGTGGGTATCCTGCGGGTACTCTGATTTCCTCCCGCACTCCAAAGGCATGCTGGTAGGTTAATTGGCTCCTGTCTAAATTGATCCTAGTATGTGTATGTATGAATGTAAGTTAGGGACTTTAGATTGTACACCCCTTGAGGGTTAGGGACTGATGTGAATGCACAATATATATGGTAAACACTGCTTAAATTGACAGCGTAATATAAGTATCTGTAATAAATAAATATCAAGGTTTTTTTCTATAAAACAGAAAACTCTCATTAAAAACTGTTTCAGTACCGTGAAAATGGCTGGACTTGAACACCAGAACA